ATATTTATATTTATATTTATATTTATTTGTCTCTTCTCACCCGAACTGAGCGAAGGCTGCGACTTCTCTAAACTGCGCCAACTCTAACTTCATAGACCCAGCCACTTGCTTCATCGCCTTCACCTATTAAATAAATAAATAAATAAATAAATGAATAAATAAATAGAATAATTACTTAATTAAATGATAAATAAAGACAGAATAGCTACGCTGGATAGAGTACGTAAGAACGCATACAAATATATACACAAAGAAAAATATACAAAAGCTAAGGCTGGCTAACTCTCTATCTATCTAACTAGCTAAATAGCTAGCTAGCTAGCTAGCTAGCTACCTAGCTAGCTAGCTAGCTAGGTAAATAGAGGCTGACCTGTGCAGCAGATCCCACTCTACTAACAGACAACCCGACATTAATTGCTGGTCTAATGCCTCTGTAAAATAATTCTGTCTCTAAAAATATTTGACCGTCAGTAATCGAAATAACATTCGTAGGAATGTATGCAGACACATCCCCTGCATACACAAAGTGTACGTACACCCCAAATATATATAAATATATAAATATATACATATACATATATGTATATATATATATATATATATACATATATACATATAGAGAGAGAGAGAGACAGATGTATGTATATAAATATATATATATAGAGAGAGAGAGAGAGACAGATGTCTGTATATACATATATATATATGTATATCTGTCGATAAAGAGATATAGATGTGGATATATAGAAATAGAGATAGATATATATAGATACAGATATACACGCATATAGATATAGACATTTATAGAGAGACGGACAGAGAGATAAAGAGACAGACAAAGAGAGAGACACCCAGCTAGCTAGCTAGCTAGCTAGCTGAGCTAGATGACTAGGAGACAGTAGGATAAACAAACCACAGAAATCAAACACCAATCAATAAGAAGAAACAGACAATAAGGAGACAATAAACAGACAATAAAGAGACAGTAAAAAGGCAATAAAGAGACAATAAAGGGACAACAAAGAGACAATAGAGGGAAAGTAAAGAGACAATAAAGAGACAATAAAGAGACAGTAAAGAGACAGTGAAAAGACAACAGAGAGACAGTAAAGAGACAGTGAAAAGGCAATAGAGGGACAATAAGGAGACAATAAAAAGACAATAAAGAGGCAGTACAAAGACAATAAAGAGACACTAAAGAGACAGTGAAAAGACAATAAAGAGACAATAAAGGGACAATAAAGAGACAATAAAGAGAGGTGGATATACACCTGCTTGTGTCTCAATAACCGGTAAAGCTGTCAAACTGCCTCCACCGTATTTATCGTTCATTTTTGCTGCTCTCTCCAGCAGTCGCGAGTGCAAGTAGAAGACGTCGCCTTTAAAGAACAAAATAGTAAAATAAATATAAATATAAATATAAATAGAGATAATGCATTTATTAATAACAACGCAGTCTTGTGCGCAGTCATCGCCCCAAATCAAAACTTTTAA